CATTCCACGGCCGATCGGAAGAAAGAAGGCAAAATCAATTGCCTCTGGTTCGGGAGGGTCCGCCTCTATTTCTGCTTCTCCCCGCGACGAAATCGGCCGGGCAATGGTTGAACAACTTCGCGCGTTCAATCTCCAAGAACAAGAGAGGATGAAGCTTAAAGAGAAGGAGTTGAAGCTAAAGGAGCAGGAGGCCGAGATGAAAGTCATGCAAACCGACCCCGCGACGTTGTCGGAGTTTGGACGAATTATCTACGAGCAAAGAATGAGAGAGATCAAGGAGAAATATAATTTTCCTTAGTTGTTTTATTAATGTATCTTTTTTTTAAATTATTGTCGCTTTTTTTTATTTAATTAATGTGTTTTTTATTATTCGTGTTTCAATTTAATTAAATAAAAAATTAAATACATTTTATTAATTTAATTTTAGAAGATGCATATTTAAAAATGTAAAAAATGAAAGTTTGAAGCCCAGTTTTGAAGCCCTGGGGCTTCAAACCCATTTCTAGTAAATTTTGGGTGTAAGTTAAAGCTGACGTGGCAGAGAGAGAAAGTTTGAAGCCCCGGTTTGAAGCCCCGGGGCTTCAAACGTATTACCAGTGCTCTGACAGGTAACCCAGCCCTAACCCCAATCAGTGGTTGAGTCCAAACTAACCATTCGTTATCATCAAATTGGCAAAGACTACCTCTGGGAATCATCCCATTTCTCATCTGCTTCTTTGGCACACCTTCATCGCCAGAGATCGGACTACTGGAGGAAGTGAATTTGGAATGTAGGGACTAAGCATTTGGGTGGCCACGTAATTGCATCTGAAGGAAATTGATGGTGGCGGCGGAGGTGGAGGAGGCAGGGCAGTGGCAGTAAATCAGGCAGCGAAGAAGATAGATAGCCGCTAGGGACCTAGGGTTCCTGGGAAGAAGGAAAAAAGAAAAAGGAAAAAAGAAAAATAAAAATAAAAAAGGAAAAAAGGAAAAGACAATACTTCATAATCTAATAAAATCCTGCTAATAAAATACATTAAAATCTATTAAACTCTGCATATACTTAAAATAATTCATTTAATTTATAGAATCCATGGATTCTAAACCGTCTATTAGAATCTTTTAAAATCTAAATTGAATATAATCCAAGGGTACAAGTAACTTCTTTTTTATTTGTTCCTTGAAGCCTTCAAAGAAAAGGGGTTAATGAACAACAAAAAGTTTTTGAGATGGGAGTTCCTATGCTTCTTCTGATCTCAGTAGTGGTTGTTGATGTGTATGAAAATATATTAATAATACCCCAAATTGACTCATATATAAACCTATTAAGAATTTACATTATAAAATAATAATAATAATAATGCAAAATTTTCAGATTCATATAAAAATATATCTATTTTAATTTCAAAAGATTTTCCAAACCTTTTTTTTTGGGTATTTCTCCATATATAATATAAACTAAAAAATATATAATATTCTACTTCAAAAATGAATCAATTTGGAAAAAATATCTAACTACATATGAAGATTTTGGGAATGTAGTATAAGTTTTAATGTGATTTTGGCACCGCTTTGATGTCTTTTAGCTGAGGCAACTAAACTAATATTATTTTCAATTAACGAGTATCATATCGATAATTAATTCATTTTGGAGACTAATTTGAAAAGAGTAATGCTAGGGGTACATTATTTGAGGTACCACATTTGTACGCCATCAATCTTAACCTTCCATTTCTTTTTTCATTTTTAAATTCTTTTTCCTCTCTTGCTTTTGTGTAGTAGAGATGGAGGGGGTACAAATGGAGTACCCCAAATGGTGTACCCCTAGCTTTTCTCATTTGAAAAGCACTCAGTTATTGTGTCATTTTGAGAATTTACTCTAAATGCTAATTTCTTCTGTACCAATGTGTTTCTCCCATTTGACTTTTTCAAGAATAATAATAGTAATAGTAAGAATAACACTAAAGATTGTGCATAATAAAAGATGGGACCGGTTCCCATGACATTGATTCGGGATAACCTGAAGATGTTTTGATGACCAGTTCGTAAAATTAACGGTTCCTACCCTTCCTAGCCCCTAGTAAATCTCCTACTCTGCTCCGATCCGAATACATTCTCACCCCCTTCAATTGCATTCGAACACACATCGCGTTCTCTCTAAAGTCAAAATTAACTTTAGGAATACAATTGAAATCAAAATTAACTTTGGAATTGAAGGGGTGGAGGTGTCTTTTGGATTGGAACACCCAGATATTCCCAAATGTCTGTGTGCATAATAAAAGTTGGTGTGAGCAGATGGCTATTTCCAGTGAGTATACCACTACGGAGGATTACTCTTAAGTCTTATCAGACATAATTATCCTACAATCCCCACAGATCTCCCCCCCCAAGTTTTCAAATTTCAATACTTCTCCTCCTTTTAATTTATCTCTTCTTTAATTTAGGGTCAGGTGCTGCTGCTGCCTTTGTTAAGCCTCCGTCCCCACTCAACAGGGATCATCATCGCTCAGCGACGATCCCTTTTCAGATTATTTGGGAGGCAAAAGCTTCCAACTTGAGGTTCGTATACGTATCACTTCACCCACCCCTTTTCTTCAGCAATTTCCCGATTCGTTCTTCTCAATCATATTAGGATCTGGGTTATGGATTCTTGGGTATGGTCTTACTGGTTTTCATAGTAATTACCTTTTGGATTTCTGGGTCACCGTTGGTTGTTCTTCCTGCTGGGGTTTTTAATTAGTGAAATTTGAATTATCTGCACACGAAGAAAAAAAGAAGAAGAAGAGTTATTCCCTGAAAACTGAAATTGTTGTTGTTTGACAGATGGCTTCTGTTCAGCATACTTTGGCCTCCTCAACTGTGGGCAAGAATCTGAACAACTCTTCTCCGATCAAATTTCCCAGCAGTTCTTCCCTGCCCTGTGCTCATATTTCTGGTTTGGGAAGAAAGTTTGTTTGTCTCAGTTCTTTTTCAGGCCCAAAAGTGGCCAGTAATGGCGAGAAACCCAAGCAAAGGAAGCATACTGTCGACCCCAATGCCCCAAACTTTCTTCCCCTCCCATCGTTTGAAGAGTGCTTCCCGAAGAGCTCAAAAGAGCACAAGTACTATTTAACTTCCATCCTCCTTTTTTAATTTTGTTTAATATAAATAAATTCTCTCCTTCCTGATTTGTTTTTTCGACTGTGGTTTAACCATTGGATGTGGCATTATCAGGGTGATTGTTGATGGGCAATCTGGTCATGTTCTCCAAGTCCCATTTCGGCGCATCCACCTTACAGGAGATAATCCTCATTTTGACACTTACGATACCAGCGGTCCCCAGGGCATTAACCCGCGCGCCGGTATGAAAGTCATTTAGAGTGCCCTGTTTTTAAAATAATACGGAGTATCTTTTTTTCTTTCAAATTTAAATAAATCCAACAAGCACAATGACATACGGAGTAATATATAGAGTATGTATGAGACTAAATTGTTAGGAAGTGTAGCTTATATTTGAATGCCATTGATTTTCTCCAATGTGTGATATACTCTAACAATGATGCTTTTGAAATGGTTTTGTGGAGTAGGACTCCCCAAGTTGCGCAAGGAGTGGATTGATAGAAGGGAGAAGATGGGTGGGCCGAGGTACACTCAAATGTTCTATGCAAAACAAGGAATCATAACTGAGGAGATGACATTTTGTGCTGCCCGTGAGAAACTCGACCCGGAGTTTGTGCGGTCCGAGGTTGCCCGTGGGCGTGCAATCATTCCTTCAAACAAAAAGCACTTAGAGTTGGAGCCAATGGTTGTAGGAAGGAAATTCTTGGTCAAAGTCAATGCCAACATCGGGAATTCAGCTGTCGTTAGTTCCATTGAGGAAGAAGTGCAGAAACTGCAATGGGCAACGATTTGGGGTGCAGATACTATCATGGACCTCTCCACGGGGCATCACATCCACGAGACACGCGAATGGATCTTGCGCAACTCCGCGGTCCCCGTGGGGACCGTGCCGATCTACCAAGCATTGGAAAAAGTTGGTGGGGTCGCCGAGAAGCTTTCTTGGGAAGTTTTTAGAGACACATTGATCGAACAAGCCGAGCAAGGGGTTGATTATTTCACCATCCATGCCGGTGTCTTGCTCCGGTACATTCCCTTGACTGCAAAGCGAATGACTGGGATTGTTTCCCGCGGAGGCTCCATACATGCAAAGTGGTGCTTAGCCTATCACAAGGAGAATTTCGCTTATGAGCATTGGGATGACATATTAGATATATGCAATCAATATGATGTATCTTTATCCATTGGTGATGGGCTGAGACCGGGATCCATTTATGATGCAAATGACAGCGCTCAATTTGCCGAGCTCTTAACTCAAGGAGAATTGACGCGCAGAGCTTGGGAAAAGGATGTGCAGGTAAATGTATCCCAATCTTTCTATGTGCCTGTTTGGCATGAGCTTCATTGTTTTGAAAAGACTATCTAATGACCATGTTTAGCTCTAGCACTAACACTGGTTAAATACGTTGTTCCCAAACATGGCCTATATTGATCTGGTTGTCATAGAATCACATTTTCAAAGAAGGAAAAGGAAACTCCAACTGCACAATCCCTTTAGAGTTTAGATAATGTGGGTTCACTATCTCTTCTTGAATGCAACTGTTAACTCTCATGTGATTCAGGTAATGAATGAAGGACCTGGACACATCCCAATGCACAAGATTCCAGAAAACATGCAGAAACAGTTGGAGTGGTGTAACGAAGCACCTTTCTACACCCTTGGACCACTCACCACTGACATAGCACCCGGATACGACCACATAACCTCAGCCATAGGCGCAGCCAATATAGGATCGCTCGGCACCGCTCTCCTTTGTTATGTCACTCCCAAAGAGCATCTCGGCTTGCCAAATCGGGACGACGTGAAAACGGGAGTTATATCATATAAGATATCTGCGCATGCTGCGGATCTAGCAAAAGGTCACCCTCATGCACAAGCTTGGGATGATGCTATAAGCAAGGCGAGGTTTGAGTTCAGGTGGATGGACCAATTTGCTTTGTCGCTTGACCCTGTCACAGCCATGGCCTTCCACGATGAAACTCTCCCATCAGACGGTTCTAAAGTGGCACATTTCTGCTCCATGTGTGGGCCGAAGTTCTGTTCTATGAAGATCACTGAGGATATAAGGAAGTATGCCGAGGAACACGGGTATGGAAATGCAGAGGAAGCTATCCAGCATGGGATGGATGCTATGAGTGCACAGTTCCAAGCTGCAAAGACAACTGTGAGTGGGGAACAACACGGTGAGGTTGGAGGGGAAATCTATCTCCCAACCAGTTACATTGACTCTTTGAAGATCTAAATGAGGTAAGTGTTAAGACTTTTAGTAGTATTATATGTAGTTTCCTATTCGGCTATTCCCATTTAGCATGTTTACTCTCTCTATATGGACATTATACTTTGCAATAGTAAAGAGTTGTAAGTGGTGATAGTTTTAGAATGTAACACCCTTTAAATGGCATACAACCACAAGCTTAAGCTTTTTGTTGGGTTGGTTCCTTGACTGATATGACCATTTAATAATTACATAATACTTTGCATTCAAATGTAATACACTTCGAAATGATAAGCAACTTGACCCATGACTAGTAAGTTGTAACGGTAGGATTTTGGGTTTGTTTAATTGTTTTCAGGGTTTGGTTTGGTAGTTGATCTGACAAAGGTGAAATGACATGCATATTAAAGGACAAAGAAACTTAGAGTGAAAATGTGAAGAAAAAAAAATACTATGAATGGAGCTGAAACTCACATTCTCATTTAAGAACTGTTTGTCTAATAAAATACTACACATGGTAAAAAAACTATGGACAGAGTAAATAATAACTTGCCAAATGTGTTTGTAGGATAAAGATATATGCTGAAAGAACAGGTTTTGAGCTTCTGCTGCAATACTAGCCATTCAAACAAGGCTCAAGATCTTAATCCCTTCATGGTAAGTAAGTATTTGGTTTTGATTTGTGTGCAATAAAACAATGAAGTTTGAACTTTTTTGTTGTTGTTCCAGAACCTCTATCTCTTTTACCAATAATAATGTAAAACTTTCAAATATGTACCTGCGCTCTGTGTGTGTGTGTGTGTCTGTGTATGTTTGTTTGTTTGAATGATGATTTGACATAGAAACGCACCAGGGGTGTCTGTATCAGCCAGGGTGACGTGGCTGAACAGGCTGAGAAAGTCCCTTTGAACCTGAACAGGATAATGCCTGCGTAGGGAGCGTGCTTTTTTTTTTGTTTTGTTTTTTTTGACAGGGATATGGACAACGTACTTGAGAGGCTACAACCACTGGCTTGCCCCTCATATTTTAGTCTACCCTCTTGTGGGATGACTGAGATCACAGTTGCACCGAGCTAAGCAATATTCCCATCAAACTAAAATGTCACTTCTATCAGGGAAGGCACAGCCAACTATTCTTCCATGGCTTCAAGAAGAACTTCACTTCTATGCACATAGGAGTGGGATGTGAGTAATTGTGTAGTGGCTTTTTTTTTCTTTATTTTTGTGTGGTTGGTCATTCATTAGCCGCTTTATTCTATGTTAATTTTTTGTTTTGTTTATTGCAATGGCTTTTGTATCCTGTCGTGTAGGTGGTTTTTGTTGTTGTTGTAATGCAGTATCAGAGTTCATCTTCTCATTTGCCCAATCACGGAGTATTCATCTGCCATAGGGGTTGGGCCTTGAGTATGGATTGAGCCTTGAGCAGATGAACTCCGATACTCCACGGCAGCTTGAAAACAACCAACAACTTAGGATACAAAAGACATTGTAGTACACAGAATTTAAAAGAAAATAACACAAAATAAAGTGGTGGATGAATAACCAACATTAAAAAAATACTACGCAATTACTTAAATCTCACTTCTATATGCATAAAGTCATGTTCTCTTCAACTTATTCTTATTACTTACTCCTTCCGTTCTTAAAAACACTTTATCTTTCATTTTTTTCACTTCCAACAAAACACTTCCACTTTCATTTAAAAAACCACTTTTACCCTTACTTTTTCATACCCTACCTATCACATCATACTTTTTTTTAAATAATTTATCTATCACATCTTATTTTTACATATCACATCTTAATTTTACACATCACATCAAAGACAAAATTGAAAGTCAACTACATTTTAACACTTCCTTATTTTTACACTGGGTCAAAATAGAGATTCTTTTTTAGAACGGAGGGAGTATTACTTTTTCTTGTTAAAATCAGATAAGTTCGGATTAGATCTGACCAGATCAGAAACAACTTTAAATATAAATAAATTTAAAACAGATCAGAACTTATTCTAATCAAATCAGAATCATTAAGTTCAGGTGAAGAGAGTGTGACCTAAGTAGATTTTTTTTTGAGAAATTTACCTAAATAGGACTAGAACATAATGACTTTTCCAATATAGAACCATATGTTTTTATTTTCCAATGTAGGACCTTTGGTCATTATCAAGTAGTCATTATTCAACTAAATGTCCATCGTTATTGGACATTATTCCTTCCACTAGGTCATTAATAAGTCCTATTTAAAGAATAAAAAAGTTTAAATCCTACATTAGGAAAGTCATTATGTTTTAGTCCTATTTAGTGCAAATTTCACATTTTTTTTTGGAGTGGTAGATGAATTGTTGGATGGCATCTTTCGTAATTGTGGAATAAGTCAGGCGCCAATTTATTTAGTTTAGTTTGGTGTTGTTTTTGGCATCAGTTTGATATAGCCCAATGCCAAACATCCCTCAAGTTCACAAGAGCACTTTCTTTAGCTTATTACTAAGAATACAATAACATTAATTAAATATCAGCACGGTTCTTTTGACCCGAGGTAATGTGACCTTAAAGTGACTTGGGACAGTGCTCTGTTGGTAAAATTGATTGTTCTTATCTCTCCTAATTTACTTTTGTTTGTATATTTTCATTGATTATTTGAATAAAATATTTTTATCATCTCTTGTTTCATAGAATTTTTTATGAACTTTTAATTGGTGTAATTTATACCTTTTATTTCTGTACTAATTTGTAATTTAAAATGATATTAAAAATAATGTGATTTTACACGTTGTTCGGAGTGTAACATCCAACATGGAACAGAGAGTAGAATTTTTCAGAGTAATGAGTTTGAGATAGTATTTACTGGAATCATCTAAAAAAGCTAAATTATTTTATCTTCTTTTAATAATCGTCCAATCGGATTTGAGGCAGTGCTTAGAGATGGGGCTCATTTTTTTTCTTTCTAAATAAGCTCAATCTTGTTCGAGAAAATTACATAGAGATGGATTTGCCCATCCCTAGACGGCTAGACCCTAGTACATGAATCATGCATTCTTCAACTGGAATTGGTGATTCTGAATTACTCAATGCTAAGCTTCACTCTTTATCAATTAAGGTGTAATTAAATTTTAATATTTTTCCGTCCTAAATTAATCTTATTTCTTTTTTGGATTGTCTCAAATTAATTTTCCTCTTTCCTTTTTTGGAAAGTTTTTTTTGTAACTCAATTTTTTTCTCTCTTTTCTACATCACTTTCAATTGGTAATTGTAATTTTTTTAAATTCCGCACAAAGTCAAATTATGAATATTAATTTAAGAGGGAGGGTGTAATATTCCAAACAATGTCCCTAGCTACTTGTGCCCTGGCGGCTAAAACCTTTTTACGTTTTTCAAAGGGAATAGTACAGAAAGAATAAAGAATTGAAACATTTCTTTGCGAATTCAAATGCTATGCATGATAGGGTCATTGTATCCTACGCAAGGGATCCATAGTGGGTGTGATGATGCTTGATAGACACGTTCCAAAAAGTCTTTCACGTTTCAAAAAAACTTTGTCCCCAAAGCTCCTTCTCATTTCTATTAAAAATCACTTTTACTTCTTACTTTTCATACCATACCTTTCGCATTATACATTTTTACTAATAATCTACACATCACATCCTATTTTTACCCTTCACATTAAGGATATTTTTGGAACATCCATACAAAATTATCTCTCCTTATTTTATCACTTTAGTCAAACCATCCCTATCTTTATAGGACGGAGGGAATACAAGACAGGGTGAATATTTACTTTACGTACTTTCTACCGAGTATATAAGTTTGGGAAGTGTAAACTACGGAGTAATAAACACCTTCCTCCTGCCAATGTACGTACCACCAACAACACTCCAAATAATGTGTATGAGAGGATTGAAAACAAAACCAGTCTGTCTTCTTTGAGTGAAATGCCTAATAACACTATTATTACTACACTACCTGAACAAAAGCCCAAGCCATGCCGTTTCTTTATCTGCAGATCCTCCTCAGAGACGACGATGACGACATCGTCGGCCGGAATCCGGCGTCTTAAAGTTCTTGGCGGGAAGATGGTGGCTGCCGCCGCTCTGGGAATGGCGGTGGTGTCGTCGTTGCCTGGGAAGAGGCGGCGGAGCCCTAAAGGTTCCCGGAAAGTTACATCGTCGTCGTCGGAAAGCAGCGGAAAGAGTGGTCGTCGTCGTCCTCCGGCCGGGGAGGATTCTCAGAGATCTGAGGCCATTGATGATTGCATCAAGTTCATCAACTCTTCTTCTTCTTCTTCTTATCTCCATTGATCCAATTCTGCTTCAAGCCATTGTTGAATTTAGTTTATTTAATTCCTATGTTTCTATGTTCTTAGCTTTTTTCTCTCTTTTTGGCACAATATCATACTATACGTACCTTCATAGCTATCAATCTATCATAGATTCTTTTTTTTTAATTAAGTTGTCACACTCGTAGTAGTTATTTAAGATTTTGTTCGAAAGTAATCTTCCTAGTTAGGGTCAGATTACCTCTACTTTGTTTATAAATTTTCATCGATCATTACATAAAATAAAATAATTTTTTGCTGACTAATTTATAAAACTTTTGATATAATTTTAGTAATAAGATATATACAAATTTACTGTTACACCAATTATTCACTTATGATGATTTGAAAATAACTCCGGCTAAACATTATTATGAACCACAACATGAAACTTATTCTGAGAGAGAGACAAAAAGATTAGGTTTAAAATTGGGTGATTGAGATTGAGGATTCCAATTGAATTTAAAAAGGGAAAACAAGTACATATTGCAATCTCTAGAGCAAATATTGTGAATTTGGAATTGTGCTCTCAAAATTCAATTTTCTCTTTATGTCACTCTTGTTTGTTGAAATGTTAGCCAATGATGAATTACTATGTGGTTTAATTTGTCTCTTTGGGATCTTCTTCCCAAACCTGTGGTTTAGTGCCTCCATTGATTTCAGCCAAGGGAGAAGGGCAAAGTTGGAAAATGGATTTTTTTTGATAGTATAGCTTGGCCATGTGTTAGAATAAATGAGTCAAAAAGCACAAGACATTAACTTTGATCCATTCTGACCAACATGGACGCTATTAGTCAAAAAGCCTAAGACATTATGATTTTTTACACTTCCAAATTTAGTATTTTTGGAGTTTCAAAAAACTTTTTTTTTCTTTTTATATACATATTCATCACATAATCTCTAATATTTCACTCATCTTACTTTAATAATTATTTTATCAACGATGATTTTTAGGATTAATTAACATTTTGATTTCTTGTAGGCAATCAGTGACTTCATCTTGCACTTCTGTTGCATACTCATTTCTCTGATTCTCTACTTCATGTTCCCATTTAAAGAAATCACAATCGCCATAGAATTTGCCATAGGGTAATTTATTCAGAGAATGGCATGAGTAGAAATTCTTTCCAAAGGAGTTTTCTCTACGAGACGTGCGTAACTTGGATAGCGTGCCACAATAACAATAAATTAAACAGGCGTCAGAATGCGATGCCGATGTAACCTCGGTACTCGTACTCCGTCGACCTGTGACCAAAAGGAATCAAACAATGCTTAAGAAATAGCGTATAACATGTATTAACATCAAAGAATGTCTTCTTCAATGTTTTGGAAATGGATTAATAATTGTACAAATTATAAAGGAAAGTTAAAAGTCAAACAATGCTTAAGAATTAGCCTTTTCTTCAGAATCCCCTCTTATTCAACCCTCAAACTCTCAGTTACATACCATAAGTTGGAGCAGTGATATTGATTCTTCCTGAATCCAAACTACTAACACAAAAAATCAATTCAAAATTTGTTATGAAAAGAATTTAAATATTCGGAAATTCTGAAAGAATATACAACAAAAAAAATCGAAAAAAAGTCTGATTTAGTAACAAATTGAAATCCATATTAAAATTGAAATCCAATTAATTTAACCTATTGTCTTTCATATCAGCGTACTGATTTAGTAAGCATTTGGCAAATTGAAATCCAAATTTTGAGTCAACAAATTAATTATATGTGCAAAAACCGTTACCTCGCATCGATTGAAGCTCTGCGCGCAAGTCGTTCGTCGCCTCCATGGAAGGCATCGTACCTGCGAAGTGTTAAAGGGTTGCGGTAGGGCTGGCGACTGACGGGCAATAGATTTCGCCGGTTGGGCTCTGAGCTTATCGTAGGAGTCTTCGTTTAGAGAGAGAGAAAAGAGACGGCCAAGAGACGGATGTGAGGATGGAGTTAATTTTGAGGGTTATTTGTTGATGAATAAATGGGAGCCTTAGATTTAAAATTAAAGGAGATGGAGGGTGGAGATTTTTAGTGGCTTGGGAAGCCACTCACTTACGGTGGCTGTAGAACGCCCCCGTTATTGATAATGAGGAAACGACTTATTTGGCGTAATTAGAATATTAAATGATGAAATAATGATTATTAGACGTGTTAAATGACATTTTTAATCTCTAATATCTCACTCATCAAATACAAATAAATCTCTGAAAGTATTTGAATATAATCCAAATTCAAATATCATCCTATGATAGCGAATTCGAAAAGAATTCAAGAATATTTGATTTGTTTCATTTTGCTTAAAACCCTAGTTTCATAAATTTTCTCCTACTTAGAGCACTGGAAATGGGTTTCACGCCCGCCGGCGTGAACGGGCGTTTAACGCCCCGGGGGCATGTCACGCCCCCCTCCGGACGTGATCGGGCGTGATCGGGCGTGCGTCAAAGGAATGACGCTGCGTCATTCCATTCCCCTCCCCCCCTTAACGGCTATATAGCCGTTGCACCCCCCAATTCAAAAAAAAAAAAAATCTTATAAATTCAAACCCCCCCTCTCCCAATCTCTCACATCTTCCTTCTTCACTCTTCTTCAATTTTCTTCCCATAATTTTGAAATTACCCCCTCCCAATTTTCAACATGAATCCTTCCAGCTCCGGCTTCTTTCCCGACAATCTCGCGCCCGTCGACGCCGCGATGTGGTATTACCAAGAGTTGGGCGATCGACCGCCGATGTACGAGACGCAACAATTGGGGTACGTCGACCGTGATTCGGTTCCGGAGACTCAACCGGAACCGTCCGGATCGAAAAAAAGTACACGCCGGAGGAGCCACAAAGCCAAAAGCACGTTGACCAAGGCGGCACGGTCAATCCAAAAGTGGACGCCGGAGGAGGAGTGCATATTGGCGTCGGCTTGGGTTGACGTCTCCGAGCATCCTATCATTGGTAAAAAATTTATTTTTTCTAATATATTTATGCTTTTATTTATATATATTATATTTAATGGTGTCTAAAAAAATTGTGTAATACATTTTTAAAGGTACAGAGCAAACGAAGGATGCGATGTGGGATCGTATCGAGGAGAAGTTCTTCACGGCGATGAAGAAGGACGGCTCCTACCGAACCCGGGACCAACTCATTTCCAAATAGAGCCACATCAACAAAAAAGTTCGAAAGTTTATGAGAGTTTACGAGGAATGCTCCCGGTCCCGGAGGAGCGGCACGAACGACGCCAATGTTCTCCGGCTTGCCACGACCCGGTATCAAGACGACGGGAACCAAGGCAAGGTGTCCATCGATCTTTGGAGGATTTTGAGTCGTTCCCCAAAGTGGCAACAACTCAACAATCCCGACGGCAGATCGTTTCGGAAAAGATCCACCGTCGACGCCGAGGTTGAGGTCGACGAGACTATCGGTTCTACCGATCAAATCCCTTCCTTCAACGTTGCGGATTCCGATGACGAGGACCCCATTCCACGGCCGATCGGAAGAAAGACGGCAAAATCCATTGCCTCTGGTTCGGGAGGGTCCGCCTCTGTTTCCGCTTCTCCCCGCGACGAAATCGGCGGGGCAATGATTGAACAACTTTGGGCGTTCAATCTCCAGGAACAAGAGAGGTTGAAGCTAAAGGAGAAGGAGTTGAAGCTAAAGGAGCAGGATGCCGAGATGAAAGTCATGCAAACTGACCCCGGGACGTTGTCGGAGTTTGGATTAATGATCTACGAGCAAAGAATGAGAGAGATCAAGGAGAAATATAATTTACCTTAGTTTTTTTATTAATGTATCTTTTTTTTTTTAAATTATTGTCGTTTTTTTATTTAATTAATGTATTTTTTTATTATTCGTGTTTCAATTTAATTAAATAATAAATTAATTACATTTTATTAATTTAATTTTAGAAGATGTATATTTAAAAATGTAAAAAATGAAGGTTTGAAGCCCCAATTTGAAGCCCCAGGGCTTCAAATCCATTTCCAGTGAATTTTGGATGTAAGTTAAAGCTGACGTGACAGAGAGAAATTTTGAAGCCTCGGTTTGAAGCCCCGGGGCTTCATGTATTACGAGTGCTCTTAAGGAAAAGACTCTACATCCAATAATATTTTTTTCTTTCATCTACCAACCATAATAACAATCATACTAGTTTTACTTTAGTAAAAATTATAACATACTCTGTCGCTAATTTGATTATAAATTGCGAAAAACAGATAACAATCTCGAGTTTTTTCAATTCAAGTTATTTAAAGATTGAGACACAAGAAAAAAATAAAATTTACATATTTTAAATAACCACATCAAATAAAAGTTTTGCAAAATAAGATGTGACAAGATTTTTTTTATTTTATAAAATGATCAATCAAAATAGACAAATAAAAAAAAGTTAATGTGATTTTGGAACCTTTAGACATATATGTGATAGTAAATCCAACAGAAGCTCGTTCTTTATAATCAAGCACATATCTTTTTAACTGCAAAACAGTTAAAGATTGTAAGAAACCTTTGTAGCAGATTGAATATGATAGGCTCTTGACCCAAGATTCTAGCTAACTCCACTTTAAAACCAACTCAATGGTGATGTTTGGCCTTGAGACTTAGGGTTTGTTTGGATTGCATGAGTTTTTTTTTTTTTTTGACTTGAAATATGAAGCTCCCTCACAAGTTTAGTCTTCCCTAGCTGTGGCTCTAACCAAGGCTCTCTACACCTTTAGAGAGATCTGTTACTGAAGAATATCATTTGATTTGAACATAAGCTGTGATCTAAATTGTTAAAAAAAAAAACTGTTGGAAGTCCATATGCAGAAATCTCAGTATTTAGCAAAATCACTCGGAAACATATGAATATGGGTGCAGCAATGCAACATAACCAAGAACATGAAACTAGTAAATATCATCAAATATAATAATCATTCCAATCAGTTCATATTATAAACCTTAGTTGCATTTGAACAACTAGCAATTGTATGAAATGTTGAAGAATACAAGCAAAACTCAAGTATACCTTGCAAATGCTGGCATATAGAGACCACCAAGAGGAGCAACGTGAAAGGATGAATCTGCTCAATCAATCTGGCAACCTGCCTGAATCCAGTCACTGCCCTACCTACGACACTCACTCTCCACTACCCTAGACTCCACTGCTGCATCCACAAGCCCACCATTAGTAAACAAAATTTACAACTAAATTTTATGTAATGATTCTATTCTGATGTTCAGATGGTCAGTCACATGACTAGATTTTATGAAAGAACAAAAAACTATGCAAGAGATGCACAATGAACTCTACCTTGCAATTGCATGTTGCAAGCAAGAATTTGTGGTGATATATATAGTCAATTCAGGCAGAAGGAAAGATTTATGCATTAGACAACAGACAATGAATGCTAAAGATGTTAAAAACCATATAAACTTGTGCAAGATATAAAACTAGGCAAAAAAGGTTTATCTATTTTAATGATGATGATAAATTGATAATTGTCTTTGCAAACAAATGAAATAAAAATATATTTTACAGTACACCAGCAGCTGCTGCTGCAGATCAGGAAATTCTCACAACCATCTTGTTCTTCTTCCCTGCAGCCAAAAGCAAAACTTTTCCATCCAAAATATCATCCTCCTCAATCCTCTTAGAGTCATTATCAACCCGGACATTGTTCAAGTACAGTCCTCCTTGTTTGAGGATTCTCCGCGCAGCAGACTTACTCTCCAGCAAGCCACTAGAAACCGACAGATCCAAAAGCGAAATATTCAACACATGATCATAAGGCAATGAGCATGATGGAACATCCCCAGCAATACTCTCTATGGCTTTCCACTCCAACCTAGTATCTGCATTGCCGGGCCTCAAGGCTTCTGTAGCCTTAAGGGCCTCATCCAATCCCTCTTGCCCATGAACAAACCGTGTAACCTCTTCTGCCAATCTACATTGTGCGGTATTAGGAGCATAACCAGGCTTCACCATTTGATCTTTGAGGTCATCAATCTCGTCGATGCTAAGAAAGGTAAGAATCTTGAGAAACCTCACCACATCAGAATCAGGAACAGAGAAGAAATACTGATAGAATTTGTAAGGAGATAAAAGTGAAGGAGACAGCCATATTGCCCCTTCTTCAGATTTCCCAAACTTGGTCCCATCACTCTTGAGGAGAAGGGGAAATGTTAAGCCATAAGCCACAGGAGAAACCTCAACCTCAGAAGATTTTCGGATTGCCTTGCGAATAAGATCCGTTCCTGCTGTAATATTCCCCCATTGATCACTGCCACCAATTTGAACTGTGACGCCTTCATTTTCAAACAAATGCACATAGTCATAGCCCTGCAACAATTGGTAGGAGAACTCTGCATAGCTCATTCCTTGCTCTGCATTTTCTAATCTCCTCTTCACGCTTTCTTTGGACATCATAGTGCCAACTCTTGCAAACCTACCAACAACGCGCAAGAAATCTAGATATTTCACATCTTTCCACCAGTCATAGTTGTCTAGAATATGAATGCTCGAATTAAGGTTGGATGAATCTGGAGACATTAGTACTTGTCGAATGTTGGCAGAAATTCCAGCAATGTTCTGTTCCAATTTTAAAATATCGAGCTCGGGTCGCTCTAAACTCTTGCCAGAAGGGTCACCTATGCGGCCGGTGGCTCCACCAATGAGAGCAACAACTTTATGGCCACAACGAAGGAACCATGCGAGAACAACAAGACCAAGAAGGTTTCCAAGATGGAGACTTTCTGCAGTCGGGTCAAAACCACAATAGACTTTGAGGGGAGGGTGATCGGGATCAGAGCAAATGGAACGAAGGTTCTCATTGGTGATAGACTCTAATAAACCCCTCTCCTCCAAAATCTCCACAATGTTGGACCGCCTCTGCATATTTGATTCCGATTGTAACTCATTTTTTATCTGGGGAATCAATTGCGAGGAAGCGCCACCACAGAGGCTTCGCAGCCCGTGGGAGTGAAGAGAAGTGAGCAATGGGATTGCATCGGATGGAAGTTTTTGAATAAAAACAGGAAAAAATTGCCTTTGAGAGCCTTTGAGTATGAAGGTCCTCAACAGTGTGCTAGCAAAAGCCATGTGTGAGTGATGGTATCTGCAAAGGCAGGCACATGAATAAAACAAAACCATGTTAACGATTAACTTATTAGCTCGAAAAAAAAACTCAAGTCCAATAATATTTTGACTAGCAATTTTTTTGCCAAGCTAAGCATTGGGAAATAGTACAAACCATTATTTTCTGTTTACTTTGTTTCTGCAATTTGTTTGAGCCAGGGTCTCTAGCATACAGACACCAAGTATGGTGCGTAAGGCCAAAGTCTGCAAACACACACCTCTCCCACGCCCTATTTTGTGGGGTTTTTAGGGTTTGTTAAAATTGTTTTCATGTTCTTGTCCATCTTGGAATGTTAACTTCCTATTGATCAATAAAAGGTGCCTAACGTAGTTTTGTAATTTTGTTAATTTATTGATAAGAATATGAAATAGAATTCAGCAATACAGAGCATGTATACAAATGCCAAAACACGTGATTTTGTGAAAAATGTCACTATGATAAATGGATAAAATCAGGGAGATAACCAGACCCAATTAAGGTTAGAAAAGTTTAAACAACTAACTTACTGATCAAATTAGGGGTTCTCCGTGGAGGGATCAAGTCCGGGCCGATAATGAAGCACTCAAATGAGATAAATACTCATGTCATTCGAGCTGTTTGAATCATGGCGTTAATTTAAAATATCTTTGCATCCTGAATTTAAATTCATATAATTAAAAAATTAAAAATTTAAGTTGAATGAGCACATTACTAATTAAATATATTAAGAAATTAAACTTCATAGAACCATATGGAGATAACATAATCACAAAGGACACATTCATACTACACAAACCCACAAACCACAATCTCACAAATGACATATCATTAATCATAATAAATCTAAAATTAATTTTAAAATACGAAATTTGTAGGCTCCTAAATGTTAAGGGTTTCGAAGGACTGATTCAATAGCCAAAGAAATTAGAAGGAATATAGAAAGAAAACAGAGAGGGTAATTGAAGCAAATTTCTGATATCCATTCCCAAAAGCAAACTGGAGAATTTAAAGGAAAAAAAACTCAAAACTACTCCTAACAACTAGGGAGGAAGTTACTGGAAACGTGGGCATCCCCATTATTTCCTTTATTTCAGCAACTCCAATATAAGACTAATTCAAAAGACTAAAATTCAAGGACTAATTCAAAAGACTAATTAAGAGATAACTAGAAAAAATCTGCACCATTAATTTCACTTCTCAATCGGCAGGGGCTGCACATAACACTAAACAAAATCGAAGGCAAAAACCTGACTTGAGAACTGAGATTTTAGGACGAGCCTCTAGCAGCGATGGCGAAGCACTGAGGGCGTCTAGAGGCTGGAGCAGCGAACTGCTAGAGCAAAGTTGGCGGCAAAGGCGGCGGCGTTAGGTAGTGGCGGAGGCGGCGGCGAAGGCTGATGCAGGCGGTCATCCGGCGTGCCAAATGCAGACCAGCGAATAGCAAGGATGTACGGAGTAGTATTTAGGCTCAATGTTTTTTTGGAAATGAGGAATAATTTTAAACTTTATTTGACCTTGTAATTTTTCTTTGATTAAAAAGTCGAAAAACATTGACATAAAAAATTACTCTCTTCCATCCAGATTATTAATTCTCATTTTGACTTTAATATTTTCTATGTTCCCAATTTGATTTTAAATTTAAAGAAATCATTTTATTTATAAATTAATACATCAATATAAAATAAAAAATATATATTAAAAAATTATGTCAAAAACTTTATAAAACAAAAAGTGATAAGATTATTTTGTTTAATAAATTAATCAATAAAACACATAAGTAAACAAAAATTATCGATTAAAAAGAAAATAAATGTAGTCTATTTTGTGACGGATGAAGTAATAATTTTGGTCATAATTCTGAAATACCGATGCAAGATAAACTATTTAGTAATAAATAAAATAAGTGAAGATAATTGTGATATTTTAAATATTAAAAAAAATTAATAAAAAGATCTATGCAAGATAAATAAAACAAATTATTGAACAAATTGATAGAGAGTACTCCCTCCGTCCTAAAACTTTCTTCCCACTTCCCCTTTTTCTCTGTCCTAAACTGCCTTCCCATTAGAAAAAAAAAAAGATGACAAATGACATTAATACCTTCATGTATTTACACCAATTATCTTCTAACTCTATATTTTGTATGATTGTAAAAAAATTTAAAAAATCTTTTTTAAGGAAGGCAAAATTTGAAGTCAAAGCCAAAAATTAAAAATCGAGAAAAGTCAAACTGGAAAGAAAGAATTAGGACAGAGGAAGTATTTGTTTTCACTCATGTCACAGCAACAGAAAACTCATGAATAAATGCTCTTTTAGTATAAAATTTCAAATGATAATTGTTCAACCTTGATTTTTATTAATAGTCATAATAGAACATAAAGCTAGACATTAAAGAATATAAAACTTGTTGGTAAATAAATTTTAACTTATAAGATATTCTTTTCTTCTATTAATTTCTTTCTCATATTGTTTTTCGGACTGTCTAATTTTTTCTCCATGTTTCATATTTTGGTAAAAAAAAACTTTTAATGAATATACCATTCTATATCACTTTTTCCTACACTACTCATTTTATTCTATATCAAGGACAACACACGAAAAGTCTTTATACTTCAATTTTTCTTAATTTTCGTATCAAGTCGAACCGAGAAAGGAATTTTTGGACGAAGGAAATACGGAGTAATTATTAATATATTTTTTGTAAAATGGCTTAAGTGAGGGATTAGCCATTTGGAAATCATAAATGTTACTGAGTACGTAGTACTAAGTTAGAGATGAATTGGAAAATGATTTGGTCAAAAAAAATTAAAAATAAGCATAATGATGATGAATGTTAGTCCCAAATGAACCCTATCAACACAAATTACTTTCTCTGCCCCAATTCCATAATATGTGCAAACCATAGGAATTGAAGATCTATCTATTTGGTTGCTTGTATTTGTTGCTCTTATACATCCGATCTTAATTTATTTCCAGAATCTACAAAATTAGCAGATCGAAATAAGCAATAATGGATATAGAAACTCAAATTTAACAGTTCAAGATTTTCAATTTGAGTTTGATTCAGTACAGATTGATAATAATCCAATTCCTGCCAGAATATGTGTTCTGAATCACATGAACTTTTGAATTTGAAAGATAAAGCAGAATTACAGAGCAGAGATCATGGAATCCAACCGATCATTTCGGTTTCTTTGAAAAGAGGCCGCCGAAGCCACCGAATCCGTCGCCGTTGGGCTTGGATTTCTGTTTAGGAAGAGCGACCGAGTTACGGCGGCCACCAGCGGTCCCACCGGCGGTGCCGCCTCTCTTCTTCTCCACTTTGTTCAGGATCGGGTCGGTCTCCAGCAGCTGATCTTCCTTCTGCAGGTACCCGAGAATCCAGTCCAGCAGGCTTTTCTCTTGCCTGCTTCCGACGGACTTCTTCGTCGCCGCCGCCGTTGTGCGTGCTCTTCTCCGGGGGGTGGTCGCCGGAGGGAAGGACAAGTTTAGAGAGGCCATATCCTGCGTTTCTTGGGGCGGGGTCTTCAAGTCCGGCTCTATAGAGACTGGTAAGCTTCTGAGTAAATGGGATTGTTATGGAGGTGTTTGCAACACGAGTTTTCAGCTTGTCCACATGTGCGTTATCCTCTCCATTTTTTCAAAGTCTCTTCATTTCAATTAGAAAATTTTCTTTTTAGCTTTTTTTTTTTAAGTTTCATTTCAATTAGACTTTTTTTTTTTGAGATTATTTCAATTAGACATCTTGATAAATAAAGTGGACCAAAATCTAGTTCTAATACCTTGATTAAATCATATTAAAAAATTAAATGCAATTAATTACTTTATTTAACTCAAGAGTTTATATACATGTGATTATTTTTTCTAACTTTTTCAATGTGTGATATTTTTTGACAAGCTCAACACCCAAAGATCCCTAGCCTGAAAGTCACTATATTGAATACACGTATTCGTTAAAAATGATCGAAACTTAACTCTAGACTAGTCAACATGAATGCATGAAATCAATTTTTAATCCATATTAGTGCATCACTACTAGTTTCCCTCTATTTCCTTCTCAATCATCTACTTCTATTGACACATCACTTTTCCTTCAACTTTCCTCACCATTCTCTAATTATTCTCCTACTTTATTTTTTTCACATGTCATCTCCTCATTTGTACAACAAACAAATGTAAAAAAGCATTTAGCCAACCAAATTTTTTTTCTCTCTATGAGAATATTATTCTTCTCTTTATTTTTGATACCTGAAAACCTAGTACGACACAAGCCAGAGAAAAGCACTCCGCCGCGGCAGAGAGGAGACCGCTCAAGGAGGGAGAAAGAGAAAGCCGCTCGGTGCTCGTCGACCGTTATTAATTCCCTTCTCTGCTTTCTAATCATTCTTCCCCTATTTCCTCCTCCTCAGTCCTCACCATCTTATTCCACTCTTCACTAGTTCACTCCTCATCATTAGTGATGTCCTTAACCAATGAAGCAATAGTAGTGGGCCGGGGAGGAGGCACTCGTTCTTAATTAGTAATGGCGTGGGATCCTCATCAATGGGATTCTCATTATGGATCAGAAATATTTGCTGTATCTAGACAGCAGACAAGGCCCAGTAATGGGGGGAAACATCATATATACCATATCATATCATCCTATGAGATATGTATCATGTGATCGTCAGAGCACCCTATGCATATATCTATGCATGCCCTTGTCTCCCTTCCATTTTCACATTTATCACACACTAACTACCCTAAACCAAACAATCTCTCCCTTTTATCACTATTTTCTTTTTAAAAAAATATTGTATAGTATGATTTTTCTACTTAATTACCTACTGTACATTCTGAATGTAAAATATGAAAAAATTACAGTGAATTCTGTCAATATGGTACGATAACGTTATATACCCGAAGTATAACTCAACATTCTAAATGTAATTATAATATTTTTGTTCCTGAAAAAACAATTTCACATCAAATAAGGTTGATAACTAAGATAAGTGTGACTTAGTTGTAACTTTATCTACGAATATTCTAAAAATACAAACAAAATTTGTTCTCCTCTCTCTTAAATTCGGTGAGATAACGTTATATTGACAATAGCTGGATTTCTGTGTCTGGCTTCTTATAGCGTTTCGATCAAAAAATTATTGTTTTTACCATCCTAACGTTCTGGTAAACTCCTCAGCCAAGCCCAGCCCTATGTGCCCCACAGTACACCTCCTGCAATTGTACCTTAACTTTGTTGAATTTGGAGCAAAAATTATAGAGATGGCAAATCGGTCGGTGAGGTCGGGTTCGGGTTCAGTCATTTCGAATACGGGTTATTTCGGGTTCGGGTCTATTTGGGTTCGGATTGAGAACTGTATGTTCACGACCCAGTATCATCGGGTTATTTCGGGTTTGGGTTCAGTCACTTTGATTTTTTAAATTTTTAAATTCACATTAACACTTACATCTTCTATTAAATAAATTTAAAACATTAAAAAATATGTATTAAATCTATTAGATTATTCGATTTTAAATCCTGAAATTTTTTTCAATATATAAATCAATATAAGGAATTTAAAATGTGCTTAAGTTTTAGAAAAAAAGTAAGATAATTATGCAATATCATGAAAAAAGTATGATATAATAGGTAAGGTATGAAAAAGTAAGGGCAAAAGTGGTTTTTTAATAGAAAGTGGAAGTGTTTTAGAGAATTCAAAAAAACGAAAGGAGAAAGGTTCTATGGAACGAAGGGAGTACTATATATTTCTTCTATTTCATATTTTTTTTAATTTTAGCTTTTGTGGTTATCGTTTTTAAGCTTTAGCAAAAAAACATGATACGAACGCGTATCGGATAGGGAAGACTCATAGCGTCTTCGATTGTGATATGAATTAGTATCAATAATTCTCCACACTTGAATTGTGATACGAATTAGTATCAATTTTAAAACGGTTTTCAAATATCAGATTATTATAATTTTTGTTTCTATATAAATAGAAATACTATGTTAAAATGTTACATTGGAGACTGTGAAAAATCAAAAATAAAAAAACATATTGGACGAAGTGAGTAAGTACAAAATTAGTTACCATATGGTTAATGTTCTCTCCGTTCCAAAAATCATGTCTCACTTCAAACAACGTACAGAATCTCATCATTTTTAAAATAATTTTATTTATAAATGATATAATATAGAAATAAGAAATATAAATTACATTGTTGAAAAATACATCAAATCTTCTTAAATATAGATGCTAAATATATTTTATTTTATCAAATAGTCAATGAAAGCATCCAGAAAAACTAAAATTTTCAGAAGTCAAATTAACACTCTCCCCGTTAAGTTCTCATGTAGAACTTTAATTTGTTTATTTCTTAATGATGTATCAAATTTATAAATTAAATTATTTCAAAGATCGTAGGATTTTACATTGTAATTCCGACTCCCTCCGTCACGGAGTATTCGTCCAGTTTTGACTTTTGGAACTGTTCATCTAAGCACTTTGACTCATCAAATTTTCTCAATATGTAAGCCTAAATATAGTCATGTGTGATCTTGTTTGATTTGTCTTAACATATAGATTATTAATATATAATTTCTATAATTTTTAAATATACAAATTACAAGATAAAATGGATTAAAGAAGTGTATTAGATGGTGTGTAAAAATGAAAGTGGACAAATACTCTGGGACGGAGGTTGTATTTTGTAGTCAAAATATGGAGGTAGAGAGTAACTGAGACTTGGGAAGATAATGAAGTTATTGATGGTGTATTTTTATAATTCTCTATATATAAAAATACACAACAACCTTAGTTTAAGAGATAAAATATTAAGTAAAAGATTTGAACATTAAATTAGTTGTACCTAGAACTCAGATATGTTTTTCTTAAAAAGACCTCAGCCAATGAACTATTAAGTTTGTCTGGTTTGAGTTTAATTTGTTTTGAACTTATCTATATCAGGTCTAATCAGTTTTTGGGTCTTATCGTTTTCGAATCTAATCGGTTTCGTATTTAACTGACTTGGGTTTCAATCAAATCTAGATCAGAATTGGGAATGAGTACTTTCGATTCAATTCAAATCATTTTGGGTATTCAAGTTTATTTCAATTCTTCGATTTTCGAGCTATTTCAAATTCAATTCCGAGTTATTCGGTTCGAATTGTCGAGTACGAGTTACTTTTGCCCCATCTAGTAAAGAGTCCATAAAAACGGGGTGATATATATACCCAAGCATACTTGTGACGCAATGAGGTTGCCTTCCACCAAACAAACCTTAACTTTATTCTCCCCCCGTCCCTCTCCTCTCCACCTTCAATCCCACACCTTCCCGTTAGCGTCACTCGTTAATGGCCGCTGCATAACCTATTACCATATATACCCACACTCCTTAAGATCGTATATACTAGTCCTCCTATGGTAAATAAATTATGAAACTCTCTACTCTCCGATCTCTTCTCGGCCTTTTGCTCCTCCACTTGGGGTGTTTCGTTTTCTCCCCCGCCACCCAACGCCGCCGTGGTGAAGCTCGCCGTCGGCGGAGCGAAAGGCTATCTCCTTCGCGTCTCAAGCGCGCCACCGCCCGAGCCGCTTCCCTCTCTTGGCTCTTCGCTAAACGCCTCTTCCATTGCGCCGCCGCGCCTACGCCGCCCGAGCGCCGCCGCCCTTCCGCCCCATCTCCGTGTTCCTCTTCTAGATCGCTGACGAAACCCATCTTCATTACTTCAGCATCGCCCGAAAAGCTGTTCCGGGGTAGAGTTTCTGGGCCCGGATACTATACCCGACCCGAGTTGTACCCGTGCGGCATTTGCGGAGAGATTTTCCACGGCGGCGGCGCGCTCGAGCAGCACCGGTTTTCAAAGCACGCGATCTCGGAGCTTGTGGAAGGCGATTCGGGTCACAACGTTGTACGGATGATATTCAAGTCGGGTTGGCCCGTGACCGCGAAGAAACCGGTCGTAAATCGGGTCTTGAAGATCCACAGCAGCCCGAAGATTCTGGCCCCGTTCGAGGAGTACAGGGAGCGCGTGAAGTCGAGAGCCGCGCGGCGCGTCGCCAGGAGGGGCGGCGACGAGAGGTGCATCGCCGACGGCAACGAGTTGTTGAGGTTTTACTGCGCCACGTTCCTGTGCGACTTGAGCGGCGGCGCGTGCGGGCACCAGTACTGCAGCGCGTGCCGGATAATCCGGACCGGGTTCTCCGCGAAGATGGACGGGATCCCGACGCAGCCGTCCGGGTGGAAGGCCCACCGGGCGGTGCCGGGAGAGATAGAGGAGGAGTTCAAGTTTATGAACGTGAAAAGGGCGGTGATTGTGTGTCGGGTCGTTGCGGGTCGGGTCGGATGTGACCCGGGTTTGGCGGGGAAGGAGGATCCGAGTTTCGACTCCTATATTAGTGGGGTCGGCCCGAGATCGGACGGCGAAGATGAACTGTGGGTGTTCAATCCTACGGCGGTGCTGCCTTGCTTTGTCATAGTCTACACAGCATAGAACTTTCAAAATTGCGAAGTTGTCTTGGGGAACCATCTCTTCTTGAATGAATGAATGAGATAATTTACATGAATTTTTTTCAACAGATTTAATTATTCATTTTTCATATTTCATTTTTTTCACTCTTCCTTTTTTTTAAATATTATATAAGTATTAAACTATATAGTTAAAAATTTATTTTAGTTTTGATACCGAGAGAATATGTGATTTTATACTAGGAGTGACCAGACTTCCCAATGAGTTCGGTATATTTAATTAAGGCTCATT